AACTGGGGGTGGGTAATAGATTTCTCTTTTAGACATTTAGAAGAATGAAGTTGAGGTCAGTGTGGTGGCGCACTGCTTTAGTCCCAGCACTCAGAAGACAGAGGCAGGTGAATCTCTGTGAGTTCCAGGCCAGCCTGGTCTACAAAGTGACACCAGGACAGCCAGGGCTCTGTTACACAGGGAAACTCTGTCTCAAAAAAAACAAAACAAAAACAGAAAGGAAGAAAAAAAAAAAAAGAAGAAAGAAAGAAAAAGAAGAATGAGGTCAGGTCATTTGCAGGAAAATAGATGCAAATAGAGAAAACTGCATTAAGTGAATTAAGCCAATCTCTGAGACAAAAATAAACCTTCTCTCACTTGTGGTTCCTAGATTTTAAGCACACACACATATATTCACATTTACATATATAATTGTATATATACATATATAATATGTACATACACATATATGTAATATATATGACATAAAAGATATAAAACTGGCAGGGAAACAAGAGATTAACAGGAAGAGGAAAGGGATAGAAAAAGAGGAGTAAAGGGTCTGCATGCATATTCAAAAACTCACAAATAAAATTTAAAAACTTGGGGATTAAGTGGATCAAAGACCTCAACATAAAACCAGACACATTAAATCAGTTAGAAGAAAAAGTAGGGAAAACCCTAGAACTCATTGGTACAGGAGACAACTTCTTGAACAGAACACCAACAGCACAGGCTCTAAGAGCAACAATCAATAAATGGGACCTCATGAAACTGAAAAGCTTCTGTAAAGCAAAGGATACCATCATCAAAACAAAACGACTGCCTACAGATTGGGAAAGAATCTTCACCAACCCTTTATCTGACAGAGGACTAATATCCTGTATATATAAAGAACTAAAGAAGCTGAAAAACAGCAAACCAAGTAATCCAATTAAAAATGGGGAACAGAGCTAAACAGAGAACTCTCTGTAGAGGAATATCGAATGGCAGAGAAACACTTAAAGAAATGCTCAACATCATTAGCCATTAGGAAAATACAAATCAAAACGACCCTGAGATTTCACCTTACACCCATCAGAATGGCCAAGATCAAAAACTCAAGTGACAACACACGCTGGAGAGGTTATGGAGAAAGGGGAACCCTCCTCCACTGCTGGTGGGAATGTAAACTTGTACAGCCACTCTGGAAATCAATCTGGCGCTTTCTCAGACAACTAGGAATAGCACTTCTTCAAGATCCAGCCATACCACTCCTAGGCATATATCCAAAAGAGGCTCAAGTACACAATAAGGACATTTGCTCAACCATGTTTGTAGCAGCTTTATTTGTAATAGCCAGAAGCTAGAAACAGCCCAGATGCCCCTCAACTGAAGAATGGATGCAGAAATTGTGGTACATCTACACAATGGACTATTACTCTTCAATAAGAAATAAGGAAATCATGAAATTTGCAGGTAAATGGTGGGACCTGGAAAGGATCATCCTGAGTGAGCTGTCCCAGAAGCAGAAAGACACACATGGTATATACTCATATAGACATACAACATAGGATAAACCTACTAAAATCTGTACATCTAAAGAAACTAATCAAGAGAGAGGACCCTGACTAAAACGCTCAATCCCCATCCTGAAAGGCAAAGAAGATGGACATCAGAAGAAGAAAACAGGAAACAACCTAGGAACTTGCCACAGAGGACCTCTGAAAGGCTCTGCCCTGCAGACTATCAAAGCAGATGTTGAGACTTATGGCCAACTGTTGGGCAGAGTGCATGGAACCTTATAAAAGAAGTGGGGAATAGTAAGAGCTGGAGAGGACAGGAACCCCACAAGGAGAACAACAGAACCAGAAAATTTGAACACAGGGGTCTTCCCAGAGACTTATACTCCAACCAAGGACCGTACATGGAGATAAACTAGAACCCCTGCACAGATGTAGCCCATGGCAGTTTAGTGTCCAAGTGGGTTCCATAGTAATGGGAACAGGGACTGCCTCTGACATAATCTGATTAGCCTGCTCTTTGATCACCTCCCCCTGAGTGGGAAGCAGCCTTACCAGGCCACAGAAGATGACAATGCAGCCACTCCTGATGAGATCTGATAGACTAGGATCAGAAGGAAAGAGAGGAGGACCTCCCCTATCAGTGGACTTGGGGAGGGGCATGCATAAAGAAGGGGGAGGGAGGCTGGGACCGGAAGGGGAGGAGGAGGGGTTTATGGGGGATACAAAGTGAACAAAGTGTAATTTATAAAATTAAATTAAATTAAAAATAAAAATAAATAAATAAATAAATAACTTGGGGATTAGGAATGTAGCTCAGTCATACTGCTTGCTTTGCATGCACAATGCTCTGAGTTCAATCCCCAGCACCACAGAGTATGGGAATGATGGCAATACCTATTATCGCAGCACTCAGGAAGCACACACAAAAAGAGAAGTTCAATGTCATCCTCATCTGAGGACAGAACAGGCTACACGATTGTCGAAAAAAAAACCATGTACACACACACACACACACACACACACACACACTACACACAGCTCCTTCAGGTATGCTAAGGAAACATGCCTGCTGTTATCAGTGTTAAGTTTGGAAACATCATACACGTAGTGTGGCATGTGGATGACCCCCCCCACATATACATAGCATAAATATACACAAAATAAATAACTACAATGCTAAAAATGTTTTGAATAACTGAGAATGGTGGCACACACCTTCAGTCCCAGCACTTGGGAGGCACAGGTGGCGCAAGGTCAGCGTAGACAACACAGTGAGTTCTGGGATAGCCAGGACTAGGACTAGAGAGACCCTCTCTCTCAAAAAAGAAAAGAAAAGAAAACAAACAAACAAAAACCTTCATGAGATAACACTATATCCTACAGGGCATTTCTTTTCTTAAATATTTATTTATTTATTTATTCATTTATTTATTTATTTATTTATTCATTTATTTATTCATTTATTTATGTGTATCAGTGTAAAGGTGTCAGATCCATTGGAATGGGCATTACAGACTGTTGTGGGTGCTGGGAATTGAACTTGGGTCCTTTGGAAAAGCAGACAGTGCTTTTAACCACTGAGCCATCTCTCCAGCCCAACATTTCTTTTCTTAACTTGTAATTGATTTGGGAGGGCCCAGCCCATTGTGGGTGGGACCATTCCTGGGCTCACAGACCTGGGTGCACTAAGAAAGACAACCAGGTCGATGGTGGTGGTTCCTACCTTTAATCCCAGCATTTGGAAGACAGAGGCAGGGGGGTCTCTGTGAGTTCAAGGCCAGTCTGGTCTATAGAGAGAGTTCCAGGACAGCAGGACAACACAGTGAAACGCTGTCTCAAAAATAACAACAAAGATAGATGGATGGATGGATAGATAGATAGATAGATAGATAGATAGATAGATAGATATTCAGCTGGTGGTGTTGGCTATTTAGCTGGTGGCTCACTAAAGAGGCAGAAGCAGGCAATTTGCTTTGAGTTCCAAATCAGCCTGGTCTACATAGAGAGACCCTGTCTCAAAAAAAACAAAAAAAAAAAAAAAAAGAAAAAAGCAAGCCAAAGTGGGAAAGCCAATAAGCAGTATTCCTCTCAGCTCCTGTTTCCAGTGTAAATGTTGCTTTTATTTTCTCAGATGAGGATATGAGAGCAGTTTCCAAGCCATTCCTGCACTTTCTGAACTCTCACTGGCTAGTTCAATCTAGTTGTTCTGGCCCAAACTCCAAGCTGACTAATTCAATCTGGTTTCTCTCTTGGTTTCTGACTGAATTGTTCTGCTTGGCCTCACACTAACTCTGGCAGTATGTTCTAATATTCTTGCTTCTTCTCTGGCTCGTTCTCTCTACAACCTGTCTCTGTAAAACTGCCTCACACACTACTTCCCTCCTTTTCTCCCCTTCTGTGATGTTCTTAAGTAGCCTCTTTCCTGTGGTTCTCTTGAGAGTTGAACATATCCTATATCTCTAACTCATTCTGTCAAATCTTTTTCTGATTCATCATTTTGTCTGCTCCTCAATTAGATGTCACTTTCCTTACTCATTGTTTGAGTTTAAAGGTGTGCACTGAGAATGTGTCTGAATTCCAGCTAGAACACAAAGACCTAGAAAGTCTTTAGATGTAATCCTTTGCCAGAGTAGCCAGGTTACTAGATTAAAACTCGTCTACACTCCAGGTTCCTGCCTTGCTTAAGTTTCTGTCCTGTCCTGATGATAAAAAGTGATTTGGAAGCCTGAGCCAAACACACCCTTTCATGCCCATGTTGCTTTTGATCATGGTGCTTCATCACATGTTGCTTCTGGTGTAACATGGAGGCAACAGTAACCCTGACTAAGACAGAAACATACACTGCAATTTTCATCATTACTTCCGCAATACCTTTGTAGCTACTTTTTCTTTTATTACATTTTATTTATGTGTGGGAGTGGGGGCACACACATGCCATGACCTATGTGTGGAGGTAAGAAGAAAACATGAGTCAGTTCTGTCCTTCCATCATGTGAGTCCTAGGGCAAACCCAGATTGTTAGGCTTGGAAATAAGCTCCTGTACCAGGTAAGCCATCTTTCCAACCCTGTAGCTATTTTCTCTTTTTGCTTTTGTTTCTTTGAGAGAGGGTCTATGTAGCCTCTTAACTCTCCTGGAATGTAGACCAGGTTGGCCTGGAACTCAGAAATACACCTGCCTCTCCCTCCTAAGAACTGGGATTGAAGATGTGTGCCACCATGACAGTCTTCATTTTCTTTGTTAACTAAGTCAACATACATAGTATCTGAAACTCTGAATTTTATTTATGTACCATAACATTTAGTTTTAGATATGAGCAACAGAAACACACCTCCCACCAACCCCCAAAGGGAAGACTCCTCTTTGCTCTCTGGTAACATGAAAGACAAGGGTTAGCTTTGCTAGCTGGGAAGCCGAGAATTCAAAAACTTTACGTTTGCTCAGTGAGGGATCAATACGCAGGTAGAGTCCTATAGTAAGTAAAGCATAGAGAATTGGAAGGCTTAAATATAAGCGTATATTTATATAAGCGTAAGCGTATCAAAGTGTTCTTTGACAAAACTAATGGTCAAACACAAATGATTCCACAAGCATTAGCAACCATGGCAAAAGGGAAATGTTTGTGGGATTCTCATCCCAGCTCACGGAGATCACCAAAATGCCAAACCTGTCCTGAGAACAGTTGTTTCTATTCTCAGGACAACAGTGACAATGACTCTGGCAGAGGACACTCTTTTGGAGAGAAAACACACACTTTGAAATGCTTACTGTACTGCCACTGTATGCTGAGCATAGCACAACAGTTCCAGTCAAGTAATGAGCCTTCACTCTAGTGTGTTTCCCAAAAGTGACTACACAGGAAAAGCCCAAGATTGCCTGCTTTGGCCAAACTGCAAAACTGAATACTCTCAGAGAAAAATGTTCCATGCAACTCACCCAAATCTACTATATAGAGAGATTTAAACCACAGGCATATGCTCATTAAACACAAACTCTAAACAAGTTTCACAAGGATTTTCTTCCATTTTTTGATAAAGCATACTCACCTAAGGCAGGATATCCCAGGTAAAATCGATCTGCTCCCAGCCATCCCAAAAAAAGAGATAACGCAACTGCCACTTTGTATGAATAGCCATTCCTGCACAGAATGAAAAAGTTGAGTGTCACAGCCATGCATTGCCAACATGTGAACATTTAGAAAACAAACCTGTGAGCTACTGCTTATTTGTTCAGTGGCTTGCTCGCTCATCCATTCTCTCATTTGTCTTTTTGGAGGCTATGGAACTAACACTACTCTAGGCTTACAGTATAACATGAATGCTTAATGAATAGCAAACATAATGTGTTGCTTAGGAAATAAAGCAACATAGATCCTTGTCCCTTAGAGATTCACATTTAAGTGGCAGTAAGCAAAAACCCAAACATATTTTAAAATCTAATTGTACAGCTTGTTAGAAAATTCCAGATAATATGAAACCAACAAACAAAAAGGAGCAGAATGCCAGAGTATACAGGAAGCTCCAAAAGCTGGGGCTTCTTAGTGATGAGCTAGGGATATGTGAGCAAAGAAAGACCTAAGGGTCACTTAAGCCCTGTCAGTCTCCAGGGAGCAGCGGCTGGTGCAAGGCAATAACTATATACACTGGGGTGGACTAAGGCTAGCGTAGCAGAAGCAGGTTAAGAAGAAAAAGAAGCAGATAAGGTGAGCGAGGGAACAGGGATGGGGAGCAGGACCCGAGCTGCTCACCACCACTAACACTTCAACTCTCACTCTGGGAGAAATGGGACAGGATTTTAAGCTGCAATAGGATCTGGTTTCTACTTTCAAATCCTGTGGCCATTACACTAAAAGCAGATTGTAATGGAGTCTCTTTCAACAGGCATATCATAACATAACCCCAAACCCAATGGCCTATGACAGACAGACAACCAACTCTTATTCTCACACCTTCCCCTGGCAGCCTGGCTGTGGTTTTCAACAGACCACACATGCTTCAGCTGACTGCTTAGGGCTGAGGTGCCCTGAGCTTGATCACAGCTACAGATTCACTTTCAGTCAGTGAGATTTTCTAGGGCTCAGGCTGAGAATGTGCAGACAGTTTCAGCAAGTTCTTTTCAGGATTATCTCAACAAAATACAAGAGGAAAGTTGAGTCTCACAGACACACTTGAGCTTCTCCATGTTTGCCACCCATTAACCTTAAGCCAAATCAAGCAATACAACCAAGCCCTAAAACAGTGTATAGGAACTATACACTGCCCTGTTAATAGGCACTGACAGCTCAATATCTGCTAACAAATTCAAATTTGAGCACAAAGACAAAATGTTTTAATGTTTGAAAATGCTCAGGTGAGAATTAATAATGGCTTGACTGAGTAATGGCAATAGAAGTGATGAGAATCAGCAGATTCTAGGTATGTTAAAAAGTAAGTTAAATTTTCTGATGTGTTAAAAAATAAAGAAGCAATAATAGCACTCCAAATTTTAAGAGGTTAGAGGAGTTGGGGTAAATGCAAATGGATGGTTCTTGAAAGAAAAATCAAAATTTAGTTTGGATTTGTGAATTTGAGATACCTATGAGATACTCAATTAGTGTTGAATAAAAATTCGCTGAACATACAAGTATGGATTTATTTGTATGATGAGAATGGAAATAGAAATTGAACAGTTAAGTTACAAATATACAAGAAATACTTAGTATCATGAGATTGAGGGTAGATATGGAGGTATGCTATAATCCCAGCATTTGGAAGATAGAAGAAATGGGATCAGGATTCCAAAACCCCAGAAGAAAGAAGTGAAGAAATGCAGTAGACACTAAGAAAACAGAAGCAATCAGACTTAATGCAGAGATTGAGGGAAAAGGAGAGAATGACTCCAAAGCTTCTGATAGGCTTTTCTGTCTTGTGTCTATTGAGGGTCTCACCACATAGCGCACGTTCCCCTCAATCTTTTGATCCTCCTTCCTCTGACCACCAAGGACCTACACTTAGGAAACTGGGTAGAACAGGTGCCATTCACTGAGACAAGTATTTGAGGGAAAAAAACTGTTTCAGTTTTAGGTATCATAATAAAGACGACCATATATAAAGGGTGGATAGATCAAAGGCAAAAACAGGGATTATCTCTAGAGGTCCGAGCCTAATCTAGAACATATACTGCTATGCCCCCTGACCACACCCACCCTGTTTCTGCATGCCCTTGCTTAAATCTACATTAAAACCATGTCTTATTAAATTCCAATTCTGCCTCATGAACAAACAAAATATAGGACCAAGGATATTGTTTGGGGAACAGCAACATTAAAGAAAAAAGCTAAGGTGGCTGGAGATGGCTCAGTGGTTCAGAGTACAGCTGCCCACAGAGGACTACCATTCAGTTCACAGTGCCCACATTAGGCAGCTCACAACAGCTAGAGCTGTGACTCTAGCTCCATGGGATTCAATGCCTTCTTTTGGCCTACACAGGCAATCACATGTACATGTGTACATACATACATACATACACACACACACACACACACGGATAGGAGAGATAAAAATTGAATAAATATTAAGTAAAAAAAGAAAGAAGAAAAAGATTCTTATTTGAATGTGTATGAGAAAAAAAAGAGAGAGCACTTAAAAAAAAAAGAAACAGCCAATGTTGTACAGCGATTTTAATACAGAGTATAAATAGCATTTGGTAGAGAAGCAAGGATTCTAGTATGGTGCTACACAAAATGTTTAACAGCTGATGAGTAAGTATTATAGAAACAGTTATTTAAAAGTTTGGCAAGTAAAGGGAATGAAACACAAAAGAAATTAATTATGTATGTAAATCGTGCTAAAGAAGCAATCTGGTAGGGCAGAGACTGTCTAGTTATTCACCAAGCGATTTCTAATTTTCATATCACCTGAACTACATTTCCTGGCTCCCTTGCCATTCAGTGCAACCATAACTGTGTTTTGGTGAATGGAAAGAAGGCTGAGGTTTGTTATTTCTGGATTTCATCCTTACATACTTAGGAAGGATTCCCTGTCCTCTCTCCCACCTACTGTCAGAATGGAAAGGGCTCTAGAGGAAGCAAAGGCATGGAAACACTGGGCCCTGCATGCTGTGTGGGACCACCAGCCCCTGCTCACATCATAACCCAGAACTCTAAGGCAACCCAAACTAGACCACAACATGCATGAAAAATAACTCTTACTTGCTAAACTACTGAAATGTAAAGGAATTTAACCTGCTCCACCTAATATAGATGAGTGTCAATAGTATAAATAGTTGAATGGCTTAGTAATCAAGAGATGTGGTTGCCAGACTTCAGGTTCTGGAGACTATTACAGAGTGGCTAGATTGGTAATAATGAAATGAAATTTTAATCAAGTATTAATATTATATAGTTTCCAAAATATGCTTGCAAGAATATGAAAAACAAGCATGTCAACGGAAAGGGAATACCCGCAAACAGAGTTTCCAGCAGGTCTGTTCAGAGCCGCCTCTTGCTGCACACACTGTGCACTGAAGGAGGAGATGTGACGTGGCAGGACACGCGGGTGTGCAACTCTTACACGAAAACTATCTACTAAGAGAACCTCATGTTCCGATTCAGTGCTCACTAAAAAATTGTATTTGGGATCTGTTGACTTACTGTGAGGGGGGTAAACTGGCTAGGAGACTTGGAGTGTCTGTTTTCCTTAATTATTTTATTATTAAAAATGACATCAAGGCCTTGTAAGCATATTGAGGACAGCTCAGTCTCTTTCAGACTAATCTACCCTGAGATACTGCAATAAAACTCAGTTTACTTGAAAACTAAGTAGCAGAGAATAATTACGGTGACAGTAAATGACAAAAAAAAAGCCAACCTGAGAGATCTGGTATTCTCAGCAGATGAGTTTATCAGTTGTTTTAGGGGCCATGATACCTTTTTCATATCTGTCACTTGAAATGATAAGGTAGAAATGCCAACCTATAACTTAAAAACTGAATAAACAATACCTAAGTGCTAGGAAACAATTCCTTACAACACCTTTTTACATTGCTAATTTTGTCTAAGGATGCTGAAAAAAACCTGTAGAAAAATTCAAATATTAGTTACTTCTTAACATGACTGCAAATATATATCATCAAATAAAACACAACCATTTATAGTCCTAATGTTATATTAAGATGATGCCAGAAATGAAACAAAGTGGGAAAAGCAATAATTTGTTTAGCTAATAGCACAAAAATTTAATGTAAGTTTTCTAATAGAAAAAAAAAATGTCCTCTACATAGAGGCATTTCCTCCCTATTCCATACTGATCTAGCTTCTGAATTCTGTCTAACATTCCTTTTCATCTATTACAAAGACAAAAACCAATGGGTAGTGGTTAATACTGTCAGCTTGACAGGATAGGGTCACCTAGGAGATAAACTCCTGGCCATGCCAGTGAAGGAGTTTCTAGGCTTGGCTGGAGTATGAAAACCCACCCTAATGTGGACAGCACACGCCATGGTTGGGGTCCTGGACTGACTAAAAAGAAGAGGGTGAACTGCGCCTAGCGTTCCTCTGTCTCTGCTTCCCGACTCGGCACACAATGAACCAGCTACCCTGCTCCTGTCACCATGCTGGCCTTGCTGTGTGGCCTGGGCCCTTCATGCTGGGAGCTAGAGCAAACCCTTCTCCAAGTTACTTTTGTCTGGCATTTTGTCACAGTAGCGAGAAGTAAGTACCAGTGTACAGACAATGACCAATATTGTTTTCCTGACATAGTAAGTAAATACCTCCCTGCACTCAAATGTTGAAAGTGACATTTATCCATAACTCACTGGTGACAGAAACTCAGGTAACACGGCCTGAGTCAGTGTCTGCCCTTTATTAGCTCCTGGCTGTACTGTATCTATAAACTTAAAGTAGAGGGTTGTCTAACATTAGCGAGAAGACACATGTTATATTTGCAGCACTTCCCATAACATCTCATCTTTCACTTCATAACGTCAAGAACCAACATTTTACTTTTCAGTAATGTACTTACACATTTCGGCAAGATATGGGCTTGAGAAAACCAACTTCACTTCCAGTAAAATGTGTTTCATTACCGCTGAAATCCTTACAAGTTATGTTGGGTGCTGGAAAACATTGAACTAAAGACAGAAAAAGTAATTTTTTCTTCAAGACTGATAAAGCACAAAAGAACCTCTAATACTGTAACAAACTACCTCCACTGTAACATCTCACAAAAGACTTTAGATAGTAAGTTATGGAATTGCATTAATACATGAAATACATTATTTAGAAGATAAATATGATAGTGTTTTCTTCATACAATAATATAAATATTGCCAAACTGTTTTAGATAGGTTCCTGGCTCATCTAATTCAATCCCTTGCCTCTGATGACAAAGAAAGAACTATAAAATATTACTGATTTAAAAATTTTTTATCTTTAAGGTAAAGAATACTTGAATTTTTGTTGGCAATCAATTTGGTAATTATCAAGTTATTTTAGCATCATCTATGGTTATATCTCCAGCTTATATTATTCATGATGGCAAATTTTGACAGTTCTGTGCCATCAGAGGAATTATCTGAATTAAGGTTAGCCCAGTTAAGGAAGACACACCCTAAACGTGGGCAGCACCATTCGTTAGGATGGGATGGTAGATGAGAACATAATAGAGACAGTCGGTCGTGATGGCGCACCTGTAATCCCAGCACTCAGGGAGGCAGAAGCAGGCAGATCTCTGTGAGTTCAAGGCCAGCCTGGTCTACAAGGTGAGTCCAGGACAGCCAAGGCTACACAGAGAAACCCTGTCCCAGAAAAAAACAAAACAGAAAATAGAATGGAGAAAGTGAGGGGAACACCAGCATTCACTGCTGTTCCCTGACTATGAACACAATGAGATCTGCTGCCTCCTACCATCAGACCTTTCCTGACAACTCAGATTGTGAGCTGAAATAACCCTTTCCTTTGTTTTTATCGGGTATTTTGCCACAGCAACAAAGTAACTGATAGACAATGGCTGCTATAAATATATCCTATTTTGTCTTGGTGTAATGTTATTTCAGCATTTAGTATTATCAAGCTACACTCACAACATGATATAAACAAGTAGTACAGATGTTACTTGCACCAGGCAGACACTGTCCTAAAAGTAAAATTCTGACAGCTTTATGGTGTAAAGAACTTTGAAGTAAGGTTGACCTTTCAAGCCTTTGGATTCCTTGTAAGTAAAGATGACACTAAGATCACCAAGATCACAAGACCATTGTGATTAAATATATGAAACTATGTATCACAAAGTATATAGCATTAGTAGGTACTCAATATATTTGTTTGTTTGTTTGTTTGTTTGTTTGTTTGTTTGAAACCAGGTCTCATGTAGCCCAGGCTAGCCTCAAACTCATTTACACGTAACCAAAGTCTACAAACTATACACAGAGACCTTAAGGTTTTATTATGAAAGGAAAATATTTTATATTTGGTTTGTAACTATTCTAAGGTTTCCAACAAATCAGGTTTTTATTTTGTTTTGTTTTGTTTTGTTCTGTTTTGTTTTTTCAGGCCAGAGTAGTACATGAAAACAGTGTCAAAAACAAAACAAAACAAACAAACAAACAAACAAAAAACCTCTATGAGACATCCGTATCTATTGGAACACTCACAGTTCAAACTTTACAATTCATACACTTTATTTATTTAATGCACTTTAAAAATCTAAAACATGGTGGGACTTAAAAGACACAGATTCAACTGAAAACTATTACGATAAATGAATGGGAGGAAAAACAGTAAAGAAGTCATCATATTAGGATATTACACTAAAGAGAGAGACTACAACTGAGACTCCTTTGGTTAAGGCCGGAGCTTTATAGTTACTGTGATACAACTCAAAGAAACACACTCAGTGGCCCACTGCAGTGACTTACTCTGAATCATGATACAAAGGACACAGAGTATATAGCAAAGAAAGCTTTCAGTAAGAACTTCTACAAAACAATTATTTTTTCATATAGCTGCTTTCACTGACTCAAGACACACGAGTAAGATATACACAGTGCTAAGGTATACAAAGGGCAACGGGCAGGGCGCTAGATTTAAATTCAGAGAGAGAGAGAGAACACGAGAACTCTGTATGTAGCACAGGCTGGCCTCACACAGTCCTACTGCCTCGGCCTCTGGGTGCTAGAATTATAAACATGGCAATATACATGAACAGATCAGTAATTTTATTTGTCTTTTGCTTTTTGTGTCTTGAGACAGGACAGTTTGCAGTCAAACTCATAATCCCTCTGCCTTAGGCTCCAAGCATTAGGAGGATTGTAAATGTGAGCCGTCATGTTTGGCTTACATCAATAGTTCTAAAGTGGGGTGGTACTGCTCCCCAGAAGATATCAGGTAATTCTTGGAGGCATTTTGGTTATTAACATGGCTGTCACTGGGGCATGATTTTTACTATCCCTTTTCTCTATCTATCCTTTCTTTGCTCCCTGGCTGCCAAATATATGAGAAATTTTCCTCTCCCAAGCCTTTCCATCAATGTTTCTGTCTTACCTCAAGCCTAAAAGCAATAGAGCCAGCCAGGCGTAGACTGATACTTCTGACACCATGAGGCAAAAAGAAATCTTTCCTCCTTTAAAAATTTTAATCTCAGGTATTTTATCACAGTGACAGAAAACTAACGTAACACACTTTGAAAACATTTCTTTCTTTCTTTCTTTCTTTTTTGTTGTTGTTGTTTTCCAGGCAGGGTCTCTGTGCAGCCTTGGCTGGCCTGGAACTCAGGCTGTAAAGCAGGCAGACCTTGAACTCAGAGAACCACCTGCCTCTGCCTCCTTCCATCCCCACCACTCAGAACTAAAGGCGTGCGCCACCACCTGTCAACTTCTTTTCTTATTTTACAGCCTTGTTAAATCTGTCTGCAGACTATCTACAATCAGGTCTTCAAGAGACAAAACAGCAGTTATAATTTTAATATGGTACTTTTCTTTCTTTTCTGTTTCTTTGAGACAGAGTTTCTCTGTGTAGCCCTGGTGGTCCTAGAACTTGTTCTGTGGACCAGGGTGGCCTTGAACTCAAAAATCCATGTGCTCTGCTTCCCAAGTGCCGGGGGGGTGAGATCTGAGGTTTCAGAATAATCCCCTGGTAGGCCCAGATGTCTCTTTCTGCTGTGGATTGGAATGCAGAGCTCCTTCTCCAGCACCATGTCTGCCTGTGTGCCACACGCTCCCTGCCGTGATGATAATGGACTAAGCCTCTGAAACCATATGTACACCCGCCCCCAATGAAATGCCTTTTGTTTGTTTGTTTGTTATTTTTTGAGACAGGGTTTCTCTGTGTAGCTTTGGCTTTCCTGGACTCGATTTGTAGACTAGGATGGCCTCGAACTCACAAGAGATTTGCCTGACTGTGCCTCCCGAGTGCTGGGATCAAAGGCGTGTGCCACCACTGCAACTGGCTGAAATGCTTTCTTTGTAAGAGTTGTCGTGGTCATGGGGTCTCCTCACAACAGAACTAAGGCAGGAAGCACTCTACTAAATTTCACCTAGCCTTAGACATATTTAGAATGAGAGATGTTCCCTTTAGTCATTAGAAAAGGTGTTACCCATTATCAAAACACTTCTGACATATCTCGATAGTCGATGCATATGTAAAATCTTTACCATACTGTTTTTATACATAGGATATAGGGAAGTCCATGTTCCAAGTGTATAATATGGGTGATACAGTTCTGTGTAGTTTATTGAACATCTTCCCGACCCCTGTTAACTCTCACTATAGGACCCAGACTGGCTTCAGACTCACCACATATACCACAATGGTCTCAGCCTCCGTGGTGCTGGGGTTATAGGTGTGTATTGCCACACCCAGCTTCAAGTTCTTTCCCGATAATTAGTCCATCAGTGGCGGTGCACACCTTTAATCCTAGTACTTGGGAGGCAGAGGCAGGAGTATCTCTGTGAGTTGGAGGCCAGCCTGGTCTATAGAGTTCCAGGACAGCTATACAAAGACACCTGTCTCAAAAAACAAATAACCAACCAAAACAGGGTGGGCAGATGGCTCAGTGAGTAAGCACCCTTGCTGCCAAGCCTGTCACCATGAGCTTGACACCTGGGAACAGGTAAAAGGCGGGAATGGACTACTGTAAATTCTCCTGACCTGTATACATGTGTATTGCATATTCCCAGCACCTACATCCACTGGTAACTCCAGTTCTAGGGAATCCGGTGCTCTCTTCTGACTTCTTGCACACAGTGCAATAGACATACTTATGTGTAGACACATACACATAAAGTTAAAAATATTATTTTCCTTAAGAAAATGAGATAAGAGTCCTAATTAGCTGGGCGTGTGTGGTAGTTGGAATAAAAACAGCTCTCAGAGGCTCAGATATTTGAATGCTTAGTCATCAATGAGTGACACTCTTTGGGAAAAATAAGAAGATGTCCCCTTGTTGGAAGAGGCATGTCACCGGGGGTAGCATCTGAGGTTTCAAAAGCCCACTCCAGGCCCAGTGTCTTGCACTCTGCCTGTGGATCAGATGGAGTTCTCTGCTACTGTTTGAGCACCATGCTCTGGGCCATGATGATAAGGAACTAAACCTCTGAAACTGTAAGGAAGTCCCCAAATAAACACTTTCTTTCATAAGAGTTGCCTCGGTCATGATGTCTCTTCACAGGAATAAAACAGTGAGTTAAGACAGTGTGCATACCTTTAATCCTAGTACTGGAGAGGAAGAGGCAGGAAGATCTCTGTGAGTTCAAGGCTTACACAGTGAGATGCTGTCTTAAAAAGAGAGAGAGAAAGAAGAAAAAAAAAAGATGGAAACAAAACAACAACAAAAACCCTAACTAAATAACTGTATTGATATTTCTACAACAAAGCTTGGAAAATGAAAAGCTAGAAATATTTTGAAGTGAAAGGTATATTTACCCTAACTTAAATATTATGCACCCACAGCAACATTTCACCATACAACTAATATGTACAATAGTTGTTTGCATATATTAGTTAAACATAAACTTAAATAAAAATTTTTTAAAATGAGCTATGTAAACAGATTTTAAAGTTTTAAATAAATAAAGTAATGGAATAATTAAGAAAAATTGTTTTTTAACTTAGTGACAGAGGGTATAATTCTGGAAGAACATGCAAGGATCCTGGGGTTTAAACCCAAGCCCCAAAATTAATTAGTTAATTAACCAATCAATTAGCTGAATGTTAGCAATTTTTATCTACTTTCCAAACCTAAATTGTTCTGAGAAGTGAACAATAATGTCTAACACAACATAAAACACACTTATTAATTACCTTTAGGGGTTATGCTTTTCCCTTTGAAATAGGTTAAATCTTACAAGATATTTTAAAGACACGATTCTGGAAATCTTACCATAAGCTGTGTAGTTTGTACAGTTAACTGGTTCTTGCGTAGCATCATTTATTTTTGGATCATTACAAATATATGTTTAAAAAGTTAAGGAAATTTGAATTGCATTTATAGCATAAAATACTATGTTTTAAATGTCTTCTATTCTCTTGTCGAGACACATGTACAAAGAGGCTTTAAGTATGTACTAATCAACAAATTCAGATACAAAATGCTTTTTACAACCACCTGGTGTGGTTGGTATACGCCTTTAATCCCAGCACTAGGGAGGAAGAGGCAGGTAGACCTCTTGAATTTAAGGCCAGCCTGGTCTACAGAGTGAGTTCCAGGTCAGCCAAGACTATGTAGAGAGACTCTGTCTCAAAACAAAACAAACACCCAAATACACTTTTGGTGTTGCCTAGATAATAGTTGAAAATTAAATTATTATAGGGAAGTCATACAAAATAAATTTCTAGCAAATGATGTGATCTTCAAAGAACATCAATTAGGAAATAAATACAAAGCAACAATCAAATTTAAAATCTTCACCAAATTATTTAAAGTTTAAAAACAAATCAGTTTCCAGAGCTCTGGATTCAACTAATTCACACTTAATTTCATGTAACACAAACCAATGAGAAAGATACTGTTATTCTTATGCCACAGAAGCGCATGCTGAGGTTCAAACTCTGACTAGCTTATCCAGTCGTGTAAATATGTCCCGATTCAGGCTTAGGACACGGTGCATCTGACTGCAGGAAGATGGCTGTTTTCTGTGTGATCAGTGACTCCAGTAGAATTTTAAGTTACAGAAAACCACTCTCTAATAGATGGTAAGACAATAAGAATGTTTTTTACATTTTATTGACTAAAGATTTTTTTGTTCACACACCAATGGAGTAGGTATGGTACATGTAAGATGTCTCTGGTCAAAGCTTGACCCTTATTTATCGCTTAGAATCACTGCTGGAAAAGTCGTCTTTAGTTAGGCCAAGACAATGCTAACCTAAGTATGTCAGAAACTCCCTGCATGATGGGATTAGCAAATCAGAGGTAGTCTGTGAAAATCTAATGATGCCTCTCCTCAACTCACCTACACATTACAAATCTTTCCTTCCTTCCTTCCTTCCTTCCTTCCTTCCTTCCTTCCTTCCTTCCTTCCTTTCTTTATTATTATTTAGAGACAGGGTTTCTCTGTGTAGCCTTAGCTGTCCAGGACTCACTTTGTGGACCGGGCTAGCCTCAAACTCACAGCGATCTGCCTGCCTTTGCCTCCCAAGTGGTGGGATTATAGGGCGTGAGCCACCACACCTGGCTGAAGTGTCTTAACTTCAGGATTTTTCTTAAGAATCTTTCCTGCTTCTGCAGGTTTGAGCATCTGTATACAAATGTCTGAGGCACTGCATCAGTACTCAAAAGTTTTGCTCAAATGTAGCTATTTGAGTATTAACACAGGTCACCTTGTTTCTCTACCTCATGCTGTTACAGAACAATTCACCTAATCCTAATTCAGGTTTCTCATCTGCACTGCTATGCTAATTAAATCGATATAAATGTACTTTAAGCTGGAGTCACTGTTATTAGCATGTTCTATTCATGAGAAAACAGACTTAGATAATTTGCTCATCCAAGTGCCCCCAACCATAACTATTGCCAGCTGATGGCTTCTAAATTAAAGAGCCATACTTTTAAGGGTGTGGTCCCAGGTAAGTCAACCAAGCTTCAATGGACAGTCCCACACCCCCGAGGATATGAGCAGCACAAATCTGACTCCCTGGGTTATTTTTTTAAAGGGAGGGAGGGCGAAATTAAGAGAGTGTGAGGTCCGAAGGTGACCTGGAAGGAGTTAGGGGTTGAAAAGTCGGTGTGATGAAATTCTCACCAAGTATTAATACAAACATTACATTTGAAATATCCAAGAGGATCACTAACTCAAAATATATATACTAATCATTTGTGTACGATCATAAAGTGAAGCAGTCAGGTGCCTGAAGTTCATGAGAGGATTGCTGGAGGTGATATATGTCACCTTAATGACCAACAAGAAACATGCATTGGCTCACTAGTAATTACTTGTCTCCTTCAACACCTGCAAACTCTCAAGGACGCTTCAAACAATTTTTGCATTTTTTTGGTATCTGAGACAATGCCTAGGTGTGTGTCTGAGTAAGTTAGAAAACCGGTAAAATACAGTGATCTGAAAAGGAAGCGCCAACCACTGGTCGGTCCAGGGGAAAGCACACGGTGCTCGGTCCTCCGTCCTCACATCCCTCCTCACCCCCCGGGGTCCACTGGTCACTAGAGCCTCAGCAGAGGCCGCGGTCCCCATCCCACAGCCCGGGGGGGAGGGGGGGGGGTCCTGCTGAGCGCCCGAGAGCGGCGGCTTTCCGGAGGATATTGTCCCACTCTGAGGTCCTCACACTTGGACGTCTCCTCGCCCCCGACGGTGCCAGAGGCAGCAGCTCCCCAGTGTCCCGCGGCGACCGTCACGAGCCACACGGTGCGGAGGAAGCCCGGAGGCCCCGCCGCTGAGGATGCTTGACCCGCGGGCACGGCGGCCGCCATGTTGGGCACCGCGTCCTGACGCTTCCGGTTCCGCTTCGGGGACGAGGAAGGGCCTTAAAGGGGCCAGGCTCTGTCGGGGCTGGTTAGGTGTTCAAAAAGCTGCTCCGTGGGGCAGCCTGGCAGTCACGTAGACGAGGTGTTTTTTGTTTCATTTCAACTTTTTTTTTTTTAATGTTCGCTTGTCATACTTGTGCAGGGACTGCGCTAATTACTGTGTCGTTCCAATTTTAGCATATGTCCAGCCAAAGCAAGCACAGGAACTTAAAAAAAAAAAGACCCAGGTCAGGGAGATGGCTCAGTGAGTAGAGGGAATTGTTCCTAAACCTGATATTCTAAATCCAGTCCCTGGAAGCAGGATTGTGGAAGGAGGAAGGGTGTGCAATGGCACACACACACACACACACACACACACACACACACACACACACTGAAATAAATGGTTAAAAAATAGTAATAATAATCGTGAATGTCCGAGGCCCTTCTCTAACACTGTTTCCAGAGAATCTTCGCAACCCGACAGTAATGGCTCCTTGTGAGGGGCACCAACTGGTGTTTACATGCTGAGAGAGGGACCCAGAGTTCAGCCGGGTGCTTGTTTCAGAGCCTAGTGGGCACCAGCATTGGCCCTGGAGGCCCCAAAGGATGGGGGTTTCCCGATAGTTGGAAGAAGTTGAACTTAGTTTGTCTGGAAGCCCCTGAAAGCACCTTCATCTTAGTCACTAAGGGACCCAAGTGCGTTTACGTAGAGGCAGTGTGCATCATACAGTGTGACAAGTTAAAGGAGTGGTGTTCAAGGACTACGTAAAATACAAGGTCAAGAACCAGAAGGTCGGGGCTGGAGAGACTGCTCTGGAGTTGACAGCGCTCGCTGTTCTTACAGAGAACCAGCTTAGGTTCCCAGCACCTCTGCAGTGCAATTCCAGCTCTTCCTGGACATCCCAAGCCCTGTCTGGCCTCCTCAAGCAAGAGGCACACATCTGGCTCAGTGGGTAAAGACCCTGGCTGCCATACCTGCCAAGCTAAATTTAGTCTCTGGGACCCCATGGTGGAAGCAGCACACATAAAATAAATATTTAAAAAAGAATCAGAATATCAGTTATACATCTTACAAGATGATAAAAGTAACTTTCTATTTAACTACTACTTGGACTAAGAATGTTCTAGTTGATTTTTAAAATACAGCATACATAAAGAAACCCAAAGGATGAAAGAAAGCAATTCTGTGCTTCGGGTTTATTGAAATTATAACGAAATTAGATGGTTTCCTGCTGAGTCCAAGAATACTGCTGATCTGTGTCTCAAGTTTAGCACAGATTTAAAACAATTACTTAGAACTGCTGATGCTTTGCTGATTAATCCCATTACTGAATCTATTTTTATGGTTTAATGATTATCTTTATTCTCTTCACAATATGTAAATTTAAAGGAATTAAAAGGTTTCAATAAGACAGCAACTAAACTATAAAATTTTTGACTCCTGAGCTCGGACAGTGGCAGAGTTGCCTCGCAAGCACAGTCCCTGGCTCAGTCTCCAGCATCACATGGACGGAAAATTGACTCTTGAATTGATGATGTATTAAAATATTGATGAGGTATCACCTCCTTTCAATAGCCCCTTATATCTGTAACTTCTCTTTTTGCAGTCTCATGCATTATTATGATCACATGATGGCTGAGTTATTTAAATTTGATAAAAACTTAAGTCTTTTCTTTTTCTTCCCTCAGATATTGCATCTCAGATGTAGTTTCTCCCCCCTTTTCTCTCCTAGTCTCTCTGCCCTACCCTCCCACAACACACACACACACACACATACCCTGCCCCACTCTGCCTGCCCTGAGAAAAGAGCTCGCATCCCAGTGAAATCAATCAATCACAGCATAACAAGCTATAATAAGACCCAGTACATTCCTAATATCAAGGTTGGACAAAGCAATCCAGTAGGAGCAAAAGGGTCTCACAAGTAGGCTCCTATTCCCACTCTTAGGATTTCCACAAGAGCACCAAGCTGCTCAGCCATAACACATATGCAGAGAGTGTAGGTTAGACCTCTACAGACTCTTTGATCTCTCAGAGGCCCCATGAGTCCTGGTCAGCTGATTCTGTGGCTTGTGTTCTTGTGGTGTCCCTGTCCCTTCTGGTTCCTTCCTCCCCACTCCTCCACAAGACTCCTGAGCTCTGGCTAATGTTTGGCTGTGAGACTCTCCATTTGTTCTCATCGGGTGCTGGATGAAGTCTCTCTGGTGATGAGTATGCTAGGCTCTGGTCCCAGAACACTCTGCAGGCAGGACAAACTGTAGGTTAGAGGTTTTGTGTCTGGGCTGGTGTCCCAATCCTTCTACTTGAGGCCTTGCTTGGTTACAGAAGATGGCTTGTTCAGGCTCGCTAGCCCCCATTACTGTTGCTAGGGTTACTCTCATAGATTCCATGGAGTTTCCATTGCCTACATTTCTACCTGGACCCTGAAATGTCCCCAGTTCCAATAATTTTTCCTAGTATTTTCTCCACTCCATAACCTGATTGCTCCTGCTTCCAACCAAATGAGGCCCCCAGTCCACCTTCAAAATCTATTCAATTTCCCCTTTCCTGAGAAATTCTTGTATCCTCCTCCCCCTTAAGCATCCTCCTCCCCCCCTTAAGCTCTCCTTATTGCTGAGCCTCTAGATCTGTGAACTATCATATGATTATCTTTTACTTTACAGCTAATATACACTTATAAGTGAATACATACAATGTGTGTCTTTCTGGGCCTGGGTTACCCTGCTCAGGATGATTTTTTTCTAGTTCCATCCATTTGCTTTCAACCTCCATGATGTCATTGTGTTTAGCAGTGGAATAATATTCCATTGTGTAAACACACCACATTTTCTTTATCCATTTTCAGTTGAGGAACATCTAGGTGTTTCCGGTTTCTGCGTATTATGAATAAAGCTGCTGTGAACATAGTTGAGCAAGTGTCCTTGTGGTAGAATGGAGTGTCCTTTGGGTATATGCCTAGAAATATATGCCCAGCATGGCTGGGTCTTAAGGTAGATCGACTCCCGTTTTTTCTGAGAAACCACCATATTGATTCCCAAAGTGGCTGTACAAGTTTGCACTCCCACCAGCAGAGGAGAAGTGTTACCTTTGCTCCACATCCTTACCAGCATAAGCTGTCACTAGTGTTTTTGTTCTTAGACACTCTGAGAGGTGTAAGATGGAATCTTAAAGTAATTTTGATTTGCATTTTCCTGATGGCTAAGGGTGTTGAACATTTCTTTAAAGGTTTCTTGGTCACTTGAGATTCTTGTGTTGAAGTCCAAGCTTTAATTCCAAGATTTTTTTTTTCTTATCATGTAAAGGGTCCCTAGAATGCTGAAGACTTCTACTAAAAGCAAAGAACATGAATAGAAGTCTCACCATGTGGCCTAGGCTGGCCTAGAACTATGTAAACCAGGCTGACATGGGACTCAGAGAGATCTGCCTCTGCCTCCTGAACGCTGGGATGGAAGCCATGCCCTACCTAGCAACATTGATTCTTAAGAATTTATATAATATATTTTAATTTTATTAAAGATTAGTTTTGTACATAGTAAATAGCTGAGAAAACTAGCCCAACACCTGTCTCTTTGGTTAGAACAAAAACATGGGATAAAAGATTGTTCCTCAAGGCTTTTTAAATTATTATTATTTCACTATATATGTATATATATATATATATATGTATGTATATATATATGTATATATATACATAACTTTCATGTTATATATATATATGTGTATATATATGTGTATATATATGTGTATATGTACATATATATGTATATAACTTTCATGTTATATATATATATACACATATATATACACACATATATATAACATGAAAGTTTTCCTCTGGTAGTAGCATCAGGAATCTTGCATATCCTTAATACCTACTTCTGCACATGATTTTATTCTATAACCATACTCCTGCTTCACACCTGTTTCTTATTGTAAGCTTGGTTGCCGTAACCTAACTACATGGGCTCCGATTAAAATGAACTGACTCACTATTTAAGGGCTGTTCAGGGTTGGGCTGATGACTCTTGGTTAAGTGTCAACTCGAAAGTACAAGAATCTGAGTTTGACCCCCCCCAAAAGGCCATGAAAACAAGCAAACACCTCGGGTATGGTAACGTTTGTTGTAATTCTTTTTATTCTAGTGCTAGGGAGGCAGAGACAGACTGACTCCTGATCTCTGGAGCCTACTGAACAGCCAGCCTAGCTGAATCAACTCCAAGTTCTTTCAGAGATCCTATCCCCAAAAGCACAGTAAATGGCTCCTGAGGAATAAACCCAAGGCTCACCTCCAGCCTCCACATGCAGACTTGTGTGCTCATTTTGGCGTATGCAGCCACATTCATCCCCTACACACACACACACACACACACACACACACACACACACACACACACACTAAGGTCTACTCTGTTTTTAAAAGGTTTCTGAGATGTGTTTTTATATTATGTATGTAAATGTTTTGCCTGCATGCACGTGTGACATGTGCGTGCCAGGCAGATCCCTGCAAACTGGAGTATGGATGGCTATGAGCCACCATGGGCTTGGAACTGAACCTTGGACCTCTGCAAGAGCACAAGTATTATTAACCACGGAGCCACTGCTTCAGCTCCAAGGCCCACTCTTGCATGCAAAATATATTCCATCTTGAATGCCATATGGAAAATCTAAAACTAATTTTTACCAGAGTCCTTCTGTTAAAACAAAACAAATCATCTCTTCTACCTTTCACTAGTAAGGTTCCCTTCTAGCAGATTCAAAACTATGGCTCCGTCAGTGAAATCCCCATGCTGCAAGCCTGGGGATCTTCCTAGCATCCATATAAAAAGCTAGGCAAAGAGATGTACATCTGTAATCCTTGTACTGGGGAGGAAGAGAGAGGCGGGTCCCTGTGGTTTGCTAGTCAGGTAGTCTAGCTAAATCTGTGACCTACACATTAATTGAAAGAACTGGTATCCAAAAGTGAGGTGTAGAAGTAACAAAGGAACACACCTGACATTGACCTTTGGCCTGTATTTTGCATATGTATACATTTTACACACAAAGTTTGGGAACATTTTTAATCTTCAATTTTCTCCATATTTGTAATATCTTCATCTAATCACTAAACAGCTAATATCATTAAGCGCTTGTGCTTTTACTGGGGAAGCAAATGGGTGAAACAAGATCTTGCCATGTAGCCACCCTGGCCTTAAAGTTATCAAAGGGATCTTCTGTCTCTGTCTCCTGGGTGAGGGGGGGCCAACATGCCTGTATGGTCTCTTTCAATCCTGTGTTTTCCTTCCTTCCTTCCTTCCTTCCTTCCTTCCTTCCTTCCTTCCTTC